TTTGTCCTTGACCATGTTTTCTCTTACCCAGACCGCTCGGTTCTCATCTACACCGTGAAGCCACCGCCACATATCCATCTTCTTCATCAACCACCTACTCCTCCCATCGTGCAAAATAACCATCATCATTATCCACCTTTTTGTTTTTTACTTTCTTCTCAATTTTTGATTGTTGAATATTTCAGCAAAAAATATAATAAATAAATAAAATAATAAAATCACTCTTTGCATGTTGTTCAATCTATGGAGTGATTTTGTGGTTTGTTGAGAGATGAAGAACGATTGGCTATTTTCAATGAATTTGGATCCCTTTGCGTTTAACAAATTTTGGGCTCTAATTTATTGCACGCGTCAAGAATAGCTAGTGCATTGTTGTTATGGTTCTCTAGTGCGAGTTTGAATGTGGCTCGGAACATAACACTTCCTTGAATGATCCTCTTCCTAGATCTGGAAACCAATTAGAACGGCAATAAACAGTGTTGAAGAAAAGAATGATGGTGAGGTTATTTTTGAAAAATTACTCCACATTCCCATCAATATTTTACAATCAACCAAACATGTTCTGTCTTAGAGACAGAGATGTCCAGCCCAATAGGCTGGTATGTTGATCTTGGATCTAGTGCCCTCTCCAAGGTATCTATGAAGGATATACCCTTGAGCCAAGCAGATTACTGTGCACAACGAACTAATAATGGCTTTTGCCAATGGGGTGTGTGTGCGCACAATGACAACATAACAGTAAGAGAGAGAACGTAACATACCTTTAGAGTTTACCTTTTATTTATAGGAGTTACGCGTGGATAATATAAAGTGGACCTTTAGTACCTCTGATGAGGGCTCAGGCCTGTCTGCCATATTGTCGTATTATGATTAATATTCTTAATGGATACTATCCATAATTATACTTGATTTAAATCTTAGATTGCCCCTTGTTATCTATCATCCAATGAGTCCCTTATACAGGTTCATAACACATACCATTAGTAAAATATCTAACATTCCCGAAAAACTTATTTTTCCACCATATTTCCGAAAATTGTGATTCTCGGTTAAAAAAAAATTCTCCTATACTAAACGCCTGTATCTAAAGAATAAATTATTTAAAGACAAAAATACTTTAAAATTGTTGAACTTGAAACCAGGTGTCAATGGCAATGGATAAGAGGCTGGTCTTAGGTAAAATGCCACGTGCTCCTTTCATTACCGGCACTCTTTGCTTCTTTGTATTTATCTTTCCCGCCGCCCCCCATCCTACTTTTCTTTTCTTTTTTCTCCTTTGTGTCTTTTAAGATATTTCGTCAACGTTTTTTGCCCCAACAGCCTTGTAGTATGCTGCGTCCTCTATCATCATGTGGAATGAAATCTCAAGTGACTTCAATAAACACTCAAGCTATGTTGCACATACATCACACGAGAAATATGTTACGATACGACACGTCAACACGTTATTTTTAAAATTTTGATACATTAGAACACATTTTGACATTAAATAATATTTTTAATATATATAATATAGTGTACATTTAATATATAGCAACTCATAATATGTCATATAACTAATCAAATATTTAAATTTCATAATATAAATATAAAACAAAAATAAATTTTTTCATGCCTTGTTAATTTTTTTATGTCAAATTTCGTAATAAAAAATATTTGATTTATAAATTAATTTTTCATGTTTAGTTAAAAAGATAAAATAAAATAAAATTTGGATATTAAAAAAAAAATCAAAAAATGTTGACCGCATGTCAAAAAATATTGACCGTGACAAGTTAGAACATTGATTGTGTACCACAACGTGTTGGAGCATTGACCGTATGTCAAAAATATTAACCGCGGAACCAAAAAAACAACGTGCATCAGTGAACTCGAGTCCTAATAATGAATTTAATAACTTATCTATTTCATGGCATTTCCCAACTTGAGATTGGTAGACATCAAGTTGTGGCTGAGGGCGTAGATGCATGCAGAGTCTTCACAGTGATGACTGATGAGGGATGGATGACCCTCCCCTCCCTCCTCTGTGATTTATTTACTGTTCCAAAGTAAATGAGATGATGTAACTTACACGAGAGCAATAACAAGAGTGAGAAGGAAAGCCCCCAACCATTAGTTTTTGTTAGTTTGCAAGTTATTTTCGGTGCTGCGAATGTATCGAATATTCGGTATATTTTTATGATTTTTTTTTATCTTTTGTTTTTTCTTTTGAAAAAGAGAATACATACTTCCAAAACACCGAAAAATGTTCGTTAGCTTGTTGGGTTTTTTTAAGTGAAAAATAAATTTTATGTCTTAGGAAAATTCTAATATTATATTATAGATACATTAAGTGTAAGATTCACTTATTTGTAAAATTCGTATTATGATTAATATTCTTAACGGATACTATCCATAATTATACTTGATTTAAATCTTAGATTGCCCCTTGTTATCTATCATTCAATGAGTCCCTTATACAGGTTCATAACACATACCATTAGTAAAATATCTAACATTCCCGAAAAACTTATTTTTCCACCATATTTCCGAAAATTGTGATTCTCGGTTAAAAAAAAATTCTCCTATACTAAACGCCCGTTAGTGTATCTAAAGAATAAATTATTTAAAGACAAAAATACTTTAAAATTGTTGAACTTGAAACCAGGTGTCAATGGCAATGGATAAGAGGCTGGTCTTAGGTAAAATGCCACGTGCTCCTTTCATTACCGGCACTCTTTGCTTCTTTGTATTTATCTTTCCCGCCGCCCCCCATCCTACTTTTCTTTTCTTTTTTCTCCTTTGTGTCTTTTAAGATATTTCGTCAACGTTTTTTGCCCCAACAGCCTTGTAGTATGCTGCGTCCTCTATCATCATGTGGAATGAAATCTCAAGTGACTTCAATAAACACTCAAGCTATGTCGCACAGACATCACACGAGACATATGTTACGATATGACACGTTGACACATTATTTTTAAAATTTTGATACATTAGAACACAGTTTGACATTAAATAATATTTTTAATATATATAATATATTATACATTTAATATAGCAACTCATAATAAGTCATATAACTAATCAAATATTCAAATTTCATAATATAAATATAAAACAAAAATAAATTTTTTCATGTCTTGTTAATTTTTTTACGTCAAATTTCGTAATAAAAAATATTTGATTTATAAATTAAATTTTCATGTTTAGTTAAAAAGATAAAATAAAATAAAATTTGGATATTAAAAAAAAAATCAAAAAATGTTGACCACTTGTCAAAAAATATTGACCGTGACAAGTTAGAACATTGATTGTGTGTCACCAGGGGCGGACGCAGGAGTTTTAATAAGAGGGGGCGAAAATAAAAAATACTATATCATAAATAAAAGTACTTGAAATACAATACAAATTTAATATACAAAAAATTGAAAAAAAATCTACGTGTTTTCATTTTATTAAACTCATATATAATTGAATCCGTGCTAAAATTCAAAATAATTTCTTTTTTAATGTATGTAATCAAAGATAGTCTATGACTATACATACATGCAATGATCTTAGGAAGGTGGAAGTTCATTTTGCCTGGCTCTTGAATTTTTTTTTTTAAATACACAGCCAAAATCGAATTTACACAGCCAAAATCAAAAGGCTAAAGAAGGAGGTTGGTAATGGACAGAACACGAAAATGAGAGAAAGGATGATATGATGTTGTCAAGGAAAAATATGGGTAAGAGTGTGGGCAGAAACATGGGGAATTGAGGGGCCGTTTGGTACGAGGCATTTTTTAGGATTTCTGGAAAACTGAGAGTGGAAATCATATTTACCCATGTTTGGTACAAGTTTTTAAAAATTTTCCCGGAAATCTGATTTTTCCGGGATTTTATTTTGTGTGTAATTTTTTTTGAAAATACCATCTAGGGGTGGTATTCTAGAATTTCTATGGCAAGGAAAAATTTAATACAACTAAACATAGTATTAAAAAAATTAACCCAATATTTCCGGGAATATTTTAGTCTACCAAATACCTTTTTGCTAACATTCCCAGAAAACTCATCTTCCTATCATATTTCTGGAAATCGTGATTCCCGGATAAAAAAATATTTCTCCTCTACCAAACGCCCCCTAAAGAAAAAAGTATGTACAACACAGTAATTTCATCATCATATTTTTCTACATATATTATAAAAAAGAATCTCAAATTTTAGAGGGGGGCTAGAGCCCCCCTACTGGGTCCGCCCCTGTGTGTCACAATGTCACAACGTGTTGGGGCATTGACCGTATGTCAAAAAATATTGACCGCGGAACCAAAAAAACAACGTGCATCAGTGAACTCGAGACCTAATAATGAATTTAATAACTTATCTATTTCATGGCATTTCCCAACTTGAAATTGGTAGACATCCGGACTAGCAGTTACAACTTGCATTTCCTTCTTGTAGAGTCTTTCTCCTACCCGAAAGCAATGAGCACAATACAAGTTCATCAATGCAACAATGCACCATTATTTGATCTTAGAAGAGAAAAATATTTCAAACCTAAGTATACAAATTACAAATGCTAGCCAAGAATTCGATTCTTTCATGTATGGTATACTGTTTTTCTCTTCCCCGTACAATAAGATTGATTCTTATTCATATAAGAATGCTGATTGTTATTAACTTAATTATATTCTCATCCATGTAGCGTCCATATACTTTTACTTCGCATTTGACCATCTTTTGATTAACCTTTTCGCAGGGATATGTACAAAAAGGGAGCTATTCATAGGAACAAAAGAAGCAAATTGTAGCTGTAGCATCCCATTTATAAAGGATTACGACTTTTTACAGATATTCAAAAATGATTTAACTGCAAATGAGTTTAACACCAGCATATATTAGAAAAATAAGAAAGTTTATTATTCACATTTTTATTAATCATATCAAAATCAAACGTATTATAATATTTATTTATTTATTTTTAAAGTACATTGAAAATGAGCATAACTATTTTTTTTTCTTTTCCATTTGTTAAAAGTATGCAAACCAATCATGTCTTTAGAAAACATTAAAATATGAAAATGAAAAGTAAGATGTTTACTAAAGTCTAAAACTAAACAGGCCATAGTATTCTGCAAGCTCTCCTCCCCCACAATATAATTGCGTATCAAAACTGCAAAGAATTATAATCCAAAGCAAAGCAGAGTAACAAAACAAAATCGAAACGATACTCAGATTTCACTGGGAAACACCCAACCACTTAGAAAAGTTGTCAAATTCAGCATAGTCAGAGTCGGAGACCATGGTTTGATACCATGATTTTCCAGCAGCCTTGGTAGCAGCAGCAGCCTCCTGGCAAGGAATTGGAAAACAACAAGTGTCAGTTCAAAACAATTGCTTATGTTGAAATGATTAACTACGAAATAAGATTCAGTACTAGAGAGTAGAGTCTTCAGCATAACTTATGCCGTGTTAGAAATAACTTATAATGGTTTTGGGGGGAAAAAAGGAAATTAAAAATCTCCCCTTGATATTAAGGAAATCCAAACATGTAAACAACTTACAAACTGCATAATACAACCCGTGGAAATCCATTTTTAAGTTAATCCTCTTCTATGCATCCATAAAGATAGTTGAGCTTGAACTCATATAAAAGTATACACAAACATGCAAGGTTGTTTTTCAAAACTGCCATTTTGTATTAAGTTAACCAAAAAGCAAGAACATATCTATCTAGTATGAGCTTAAACAGAGTAAAATTGAGAGTTAGAGATCACTAGTGAAGCATAAGGCAAATCATCATAATATAATCAACATATAAATCAATAATGAATGCATTTGAATGATAAAGTACCCAACTAATGTATTCAGCGCAATGATGTTGTTTTATTCTAAATATAGTGTTAAGGATAAAGTAGGTGACCTTGGGGACAGTGTTGCGCTTCTTGTGGAGAAGCTCCTTCTTAGCTTTGACGCGCTGTGACTCAGCGAGAAGTGACATCCTCTTTGCTGTTTTGGCATAGGGATTGAGCCTCAACATAACATTGAGATTCTTGAGGGGGTTCTTCTTGAGTGTAGCCCTCTTAACCTCCTTGTTAATGGGCCTAACCACAGACTGAACCTCATCAGAGTTAATGATCCTGGCGAGGTCCGAGTTTACCATCTTTGACCTGGGAAGCAGGTAACCATTCTTCTTCTCAGAAGCCTTCTCGAATGACCCATATATGGAGTCAAGTTTCTCAAACGCAGACTTAGTCCATATAATGAACCTTCCAAGGTGACCACCCGGTGCCAACTTCAGAAGGTTCAGCCTCTCAACATTCGCCACCTCAACACCTGGAATGTTCCTGAAAGCTTTCACGGCTTTGGCTCCTTCAGTTCCGTACACAATAAGAGGACCCTTGCGTGAAATGTACCTTCGGTTCCTCATCTTCCCCTTCCCTGATCGAATGCCATGGCTGTCCTTCGCTTTCTCAGCGTCTGGGAAAGCGCCAATTTGCTTCAGAACCTTCACCGCTTCCTTGCTTTTCTCCATTGCTTCCATGGAGTCACTGACTACAAGAGGAAGCTCCGGGACTGACTCGATTTTGTGACCGCGGGCCTGAACGAGTGAGGGGATAGCGGAGGCGGCGATGGCGGAGACGACGGCGTAGCGCTTCTGGTTGACGTTGATCTTGCGGTGCCAGCGTCGCCAGATCTTGGTGGGAGCGAACATGCGACCGCCGCGGCACATGTTGCCGAAGGCTCCCTGGCCGGCGCGGTGGGTTCCGCCGCCGGGGACTCGGGGGATACGGGAGACTGCACGGCCGGTGCCCCAGGACTCGGCGGAGGTTTGGTGGCCGGCGCGCCTGCTGACGGCGTAGGGTTGGCGGCTGTTTCGGGAAATGTTGGAGTGAACGAAGGTGACGATGTCGGGTCGAATTGACGCCTTCATCACATGAGGCAGTGGGATGGTGGGTGCCGCCGCGTCGCCCTCCATGGATTGAACAGAGACCAGAGGGCGAGCTGCTGCGGCCATTGTTGAAGTTCAGTGCAGACAATAAGCTAGGGTTTTGAGCAATGCCAATGGCATGAAAGATAAACAACTGATCGGGGAATATATATATATATATATATACTAGTGAATTACTCGTGCCATGCCCGGGGAAAAAAGAACAAAATATTTGTCGTCCGCTGTGGTTGGTTAATCGCACTGCAAATATTAAACTTACAAAAACCTGTGTTGTTATCTTGTTCTATATTTCAAGTGGAAAAAATTACAGCATTGATACAGAACTTTGCAAATGTCAACCATAAACAAAAATCTGTTATCCAGAGTGATCAATACTATGCAAATCAAATATATTATCTACTCGATGAGTTATGTAAAAAATAAATACACCATAGTAGACTATGTTGAAATGAGGATGGCTAAAAAAAGAAAAATGCATACAACTTATTGCTAACTATAACAGTCACTAATAAAATAAAGGTAACAAACAGACCAGGCAAATATGAAATTAAAAGATCAGCTTGTACCTATAATAAAAAAAACGCTATTAATTCAGTGTCATTCTGTAGCAATCATTGGAGGGATGAGTTTAACACATACCAAACATGTGATTTCCTATGTTTATGCATTACCAGGGACATCCTCTTCCACCATCATATTTATGCCTACGATACAAAATGTAAATGCTCATAAAATAAATTACGTTAATATGTTAACACTCAGAAGTAATAATCTCAGTAAAAAAATGGGTTATTTTTTTTAGAACCCAAAAAACGTTGTCTGAAAGGGATTTGAAAGCAAATTAACCAAATGGTCATGTATGAGTCATATTTTTTGCTTACATTGGAACAAATGTGTCTAAATAGCATCAAATCAATACACATGCTAAAAACTTGTAACAATATAAAGAACCCACAATGATAAATTTTTAAAAAACAACAACATACATTTGGGTCCACCAAAGACTTGAAGAATGAGGTGACAATAGCTTCGTTGCTTCAAACACTTGAAACTTGATATCTTGGCTCATTATATGGCTCCAAATTATTATTTTTACGTTGAACTTAAATAACATCGATTTTTCATTAAGAACGTTTAGTTTTCTTAGATAATGTTCCAAATCAACACCCTAAGAAAAAAAAATTCTTCAAAATTAAGTATAACTCGTGCGATGCACAGGAAAAAAAAGAAATTTGTTTGTCTGTCTCATAAAATTTAATGCAAAACATAAAAATATATCTCTGCATTTTATTTAAATCAATATTGTTAGCTACCTAACTCAAACTTTTTGTACATATTGGCAAATTTTTGAGTTATTAAGTTTAATATAAAAGAAGAAGAGCAAAATTTTAATTTAATTACAAAAAAATAGGCGGGTCAGTCCTCCGGACCGACTCCACTTTGCAACCTCTAATTGTCAGCATTATATACCAGCATATAATAAACTTTTATATTTATCCACACGAAAAAGTTCTAATATTTGCATCTAAGTTTTTATATTTTATCTCAGAGATGGACTTTCGTTTATTACAATCAGATTTAAAAAATAATAATAAATAATTATTTTTTGCAAGGATTTGCGTCGTTTGTATTTGAAATTTTACAAATTTGTATTTACAAAAATTAAAATCTGATTTAAGAATTTAATTATAAAAGAAGATGTGAGAAATTTTAATTTAATTATAAAAATGTTTGGTAGGTCGGCCCTCTGGGCCGAGCCCAGTTTGCCACCTATAACTAACGTTTTTATATTTATTCACAAAAAAGGCTCTTATAATTACTTCTAAGATTTTATATTTTATCTAAGAGATGAACTTTCATTCATTACAATTACATTTATAAAATAATAATAAGTAATTATTTTTTGCAAGGAATTGTGTAGTTAGTATTTAGAATTTTATAAATTTGTATTTACAAAAATTGAAATATGAATTAGGAATCTAATTATAAAAGAAGAGTGAAATTTTAATTAATTATTAATACGTGTTGGCAGGCAAGGCGTGCAGGCCCTTTGGGCCAAGCCCAGTTTGCAACTTTTAACTATCACTGTTTTATATAAATAATTATTTTTTTTCAAGGATTGTGTAATTAGTATTTTGAATTTCACATATTTGTATTTACAAAAATTTAGGAATTTAATTATAAAAGAAGAAGGATAAAACTTTAATTTAACTATAAAAATATGTTGGTGGGCCGGCCCTTCGGGCTAAGCCAAGTTTGTCACCTCTAACTATCAGCATGCAATAGATTTTTACAGTTATCCACAAAAAAAGTTCTTATCGTCACATTTAGGTTTTTATATTTTATCTCAAAGATGGACTTTTGTTTATTACACTCAGATTTAAAAAATAAAAATAGTGGAATTTTAATTAAATTACAAAAATGTGTTGGAAGGCGGGGCTGGCATGTTGCAACCTTTAACCATCAGCATTTTATGTAAATAATTATTTTTTTGCAAGGATTTATGTCATTAGTATTTTGAATTTTACAAATTTATATTTACAAAAATTAAAATCAGATTTAGGAAATTAATAATAAAAGTAGAAGAATAAAATTTTAATTTACTTATAAAAATGAGTTGGCGGGCCGGCCCTTCGGGCCGAGCTCATTTTGTCACCTCTAACTGTGAGCATTTTATATCAGCATGTAATAGGTTTTTATATCTATCAACAACAAAAAAATTCTTATAGTTGTTTCTAGATTACTATCTATCTATATTTTCTATATTTAGACAGTAAACATAAGATAAAAAAAGTGTTGGCAGGCGAGGTGGACCGATCCCATTTTACCACCTTAACTGTCAGCATTTCATATAAGCATGTAATAGATTTTTATATCTCCACAAATAAAATTCTTATAGTTGCGTCAAGATTACTATCTATACATGTTTTCTATAGTTAGGCAGTATACATAATGAAAAAAATATGTTGGCCGGGCTAACTCGCCTGTTTGGCGGGCGGGGAGGGCCGGCCCATCGTGCCGTGCCCATTTTGCCACATATATCTGTCAACATTTTATACCGCCATGTAATTGATATTTATATTATCCACAAGAAAAAGTTTCTTATAGTTGCCTCTAGATTACTATCTATCTATGTTTTATATAATTAGACAATAAACATAAGAATAAAAAAACTATTGGTGAGCTGGGTGGGCCGTCCCTACGGGCCGAGTCCCTTTTGCCATCTCCAACTGTAAGCATTTTATATCAGTATGTAATAAATTTTTATATTTATCCACAAAAAAGGTTCTTATAGATTCGTCAAGATTACTATTTATCTATGCTTTCTATAGTTAGACAATAAAGATAATAATAGATATAAAAATAATTAATCCTAATAGGTTTAATAACTAAGCTCAATAGATATAAAAATAATTATTATTAATATGCTTAACAATTTTCCATGCAGAAAGTAGTGGGAAATATTAAATGCTGAATCTTTTCCCACCTATAAAGTTCAAAATTCAAATTTAAAAAATTTAAATTTTAAATTTTTTCTCACCCAATAGATATAATAATAAATATTATTAATAGGCTTAATAATTTTCTATCTAGAAAGTATAAAGTAGTAGAAAACATGCATAGAAGTCTATGCACATTCTTCAAGTAATAGCTTCTAGGTAATCATTTACCACATAGAAAATTTTGTTAATTACACTCTTACATCAAAAGAATGAAAGTTTAATTTCTTTCCAATATATTTAATTTTAAAATTTAAAATTCAACATGATAATAGAATTAATTATACATACTTTTAAAAAATAATTTTTTTTTCTCTTTTAATTTATATTATGTACACACATATATATATATATATATATATATATATATATACATTTAAATATTTATCTTAAGTATTTTTTTAAAAGTTTCTTGTACGAATTTTTTTTCTTTTTTGTATCATTATTTTAAGTTAAAATTTTAATTTACTTTATTTTAAATTATATTTTTATAATTTTAAATATTTTTTCCGATAAATTAATAATTTTTTATTAAAATTAAATTTATTTTATACATATCTTTTTTCCTGTTTTATAATTAATTCTAATAGGAATAATAATTAAGCCCAATAGACATAATAATAACTATCATTAATATGCTTAATAATTTTATTTTATTTTGGAAATATTCCAATTGGTTCATTGCTTCACAACTAATCCGATTCGGGGCGGGTCCAGGATTAAGGCATTATGCTTAATAATTTCTCATGCAGAAAGTAGTGTGCAATATTAAATGCTGAATCTTTTCCCACCTCTCAAGTTCAAAATTCAAATTTAGAAAGTTTAAATTTTAAGTATTAAATATATTCCCTCCCTGTAGACATAATAATGAATTAATAGGCTTTGCAATTTTCTATGA